CTTTTTTTTTTTTTTTTTTTTTTTTTGAGACAGGGTCTCATTATATAGTTCAGGCTGACTTTGAATTCACTATGCAGACCAGACTGGCCTCAAACTCATGGTGATATTCCTGCCTCAGCCTCCTGAGTGCTGGGATTACAGGTGTGCTCAACCACACCTGGCCCCAGACAGGACAACTTTCACATGGCCTCTTGATCATGCGTAATGCATTTTTAGTAGGCAGGTGCAGTTGCTTAGTACTACTGGAATCCAGGCTCTTTGAATTGAGTAAATATATAACTTTAGAATTTGTTCATTTGCTGTGAAATTATATTTTGGAGGCATCTGTGGATCAAGTTAGTGGTTCATGGTCATCTCTGATGAGAATTATAAAATCTGATATAATTCTTCATGCATTTTAAAGTATACCAGATTATTTGCTTTGAGGTTATTTTATTTTTCTTGGTACCAGGGATCAAACTTGGGCCCTTGCGCTTGCAAGGCAGGCGCCGGAACCACTGAGCTAAATCCCCAGCCCAGCTTCGAGGTAATTTTAAAGAGAAATGCTAACAACAAAGTTAATTCCTAACCACATATTTAAAATGAAAAATCTCCTGTTTTTAGAATACCCAACTGGGAGTTATTCTCCAGCTGTTTTTTACAGATAAGCTGGTCCCAACAGTCCCTTGACTATTGCAATCCAGCGGGGAAATCAAATGCCTCCCAGGGCAGTCTAGTTATTATATGCACTGCCGAAGTGAGCACAGGGCAGTCTGATTATTTAAATAGCAAGATTAAGTTAAAAATTTCTCCCAAAATCTTCTTAGAATAAAAGCTACAGAAGCTGCCATCTTTTGTAAGTTTAAATAAGTTATTCCTGCTTTTAGAGCGACTACTTAGCAAGTATTCTAACATTTTAAACTCATATTTGCCTTTTACTTCCTCTACAGGAAACATGAAAAAGTGAAATAATAAAAAAAAATCTTTAGAGCTCAGATACAGTAATGACCATGAGGTAAAAAAATGAAACAATCATGCTGGTAATTAAATAGAATGTCAAAGATTGAAATACTTTTCATAAAGATCAGGAATGGAAGAGCTTGAAGACATTCAGGAAATGAATTCAGAAACAGGAAGTATGGACATCGTGTGAGGCACATGTGGGACACCTTGGACAGTAGGTGTCTCATCTGTAAATGAAACTTTGCGTAGACATGAAAGGTGGCTGAGAACTTGGAACACATGTGGTTTTAAAAAAAGTCAAACATTTACAATTCTGAATTAAATAATTTTAGGCAAATAAACCACAGACCAGGAACTTGGAGGTATAGTTCTTAGACAAAAGTACTTTAAAACTTATCCACTGTGTATTGAAAGGAAAGACCTCTCTGCCACACTGTTATTTAAGCAGAGGTGAGTTTGTTGTCAAGAAAAGGAAACGTGTGCACAACTCGTAGTAGGTGTGGGCCTCATTAGGCCTTATAATGGTAATAATTCAGCAAAAGAAGCAACACTGTGCAGGACACATACTATATTTCAATCTCTGATTGAAAGCATCCCAAGAAGGAAAACAAAAGCAAATACAGAACAAAAACAACTCTACAGGGACTAACCAAAGAAGAAAGTAGTAAAATGGTGATAGAAGGGACAGAAAAGTTTACAAACAGACTGGCTTTTTCTTTTTCTGCTTGTCTTTATCCTTCGCTTCTCTCTCCCGTTTGGCCAGTCGCCTCTTAAATTCTTCTGGCATTTTCTCATAACAGTGTTTGCAGACTGGTTTTAGATCAATTTCAACAAACTTATCCCTTTGAGCAGGACAAAGAAGGAACAGAAGAAAGAACAGGGAACAATTAAAAGAAGAAAATTTACTTTCAGAAGACCTCAACAGAAAGAAGAAATAGGGATCAAATAACTCTTAAAAAAAATCCTAGGACTATTAAATGTCACCAAGTCCTCAACCCAGGAATCCCCAGAACAGAGAGAACAGACTTACTTGAGTGTCAGCTTGGTGTGGCAGGTGGAGCAGGCAAAACAGTTTACACACCAGGCCTTATTAAGGGCGGAGACCACTGGGGAAGAGAGAGACTGGTCACAGGGACACGCGGTACTCAGGGGGCAGGGAGCTGCGGTTTCCAGCTCTGCAGTGAACTAAGGCAGCTCTCAGGGCACCCAGGGAAGGGGCTCGAGAACCTCTCACAGAGAAGACAAGCTCAGTGCCATTAATTAAAATGCTCAGAATCGACCCATTTTATTCACTTATTGAGGCTATAGTTTTCATATTTTTTACACAAGCATGGAAAACAAGCACTAAGGTCTTCCATTTGGGAGATTATTGCCTTTTTCGCTCTTCACAGTAACTTTTCCCTTTCCTTAGGAACCTATGGCACAAAAATTGTGCCCCTCAGTTCATGGACAAGGCGGCAACTGCACTTGCATCCCGCTGAGCATGTCCTACAGCCCAGCCTTTTGGACCTGGCGGCTATTTCTGTCCTTCTGCTGTTGGTCCATCAAAGAAAGAGATGGCCCAGGATAGCAATGACAAATCTTTTAGAGCTTTCAATGATACAACCGCCTGCTGCAGCACGAGTGCTGTAGGTTCTCCACCACAGGCCTAGAATACTTTTAAAATTCCAGACGTGAACTTTTTGCCTATTGACATGTCTGTACCAGCACTAACAATAACAGAAGCACATCCTCCACCTGGCAGCCAGCTTCCTAGTATGAGCCGGTTACTCTCATGGCCCTGGACCACTATCCTGAGCCAGCTCTCACATACTGAAAGGGACACGCTTCCGCAACACCTTCACTGAGCCTGTGATGTCCGCTGAGAACCACGAGGGTCAGGACTGTCAGGAATTCCCTAGCAGACCTGTGCCAATGACTCTACAAACACAGCTGCTTCCTTTCTACCGTGAGTCAGCCCTGCCTGACCACCAGCAGGGAGGCTGTGGGATCCAGCGAGGCTGCAGGGGCTGCCAGCTATTACTGTGGGGCGTCACATGCTCCCAATCATCAGGGCTCTCAGGAACTGGGAACCTGTCTCATGTCTGGCTGAGAGCACTGGTAGCAGCCTAAAGCACTCACCTCCATGAGTCACATACTCAGTCTGAGGTACTAACCTCTTTCCTGTGGTGCCTTACTGGGGAAATAGGCCAAAGAGAGAAAAAACTAACTGATAATCCCAAACAATGGCAACAACAGTCTCCCTCAATGTTCACATGGCCACTGGTATCTGTGCCAAGATGGAGCCTTACAGGGACGTAGACACTCACCATCACCTTCTATGACACGGTTGCAGTGGAAACAAACATCTCCAAAGAGCTGAAAAAAAAAAAGCAATAGCAAAAGGTCAAGGTGTGTTGGAATTCGCTTTGAACATTCAACACTCAGGACACTTCAGTTCTTTCTGGCACTTAGAATGATTTCCTCTCTATTACTTAGAACAGATAGGCATTGCCTTCAATCAGAGCAGTCAGAGCCTTCAGTTATCATGGTGCCCGTTGAGCCCTGGGCAGAGGGCAGGACATTGCCCACTGCCTGCCTATCAGATGCAGAGCAACTGTGAATCCTAGGGCAGACATCAGCTGGTGACACCAGTGCTCTGAGGAGACGGGCTGCCTAAAGTTCCAGCCAGTATGGCACCACCTAAACCTGGGCAGGAGGAGTGGGTTGGTGAACTCACCTATTAAAGCCTTGGAACTGCTCCAGTTCTGAGGAGGCTGAAGGAACCTGACAGCCTAGGCTAGATCCAGGCTTGGAGTAGAAAAAACTGCTATGCAGACATTATTTGGCCAAGCGATGAAACTAAAGTAAATGGATTAGAGTACTATGGCAGCACCAATGCCCACAGTTATGTAAGAGTTCCTATCCTTCAGAAACAGACATTCAAGTCCTTAGGGGTGAAGACATGCTAAACTTACTGTTAAATGCTCATTATAAAAAAAGCATTTCTGTTTTGCATCTATGTATCCAAGTATTAAGGTATCTGTGTTTATGTAAGGTTGTGATTTGCACAGCAAGATCCAACACATGCAAATAACACAGGAAATAGTGAGTGTGAGTTACATGGGGATTCTTTATATTTTTATTTTACAACTTTTCTGAGTCTGAAATTATTTCTCAAAAAGTTAAAAATAAATCTCTGTAAACTAATGTACATTTCCCAACAAGTGTCCTGGTAGCTAAAATCCATAAATGTAACCCTGGTGTCCCCCAAGTCTAAGTCAGTACCTGGTTATAATGAGTCTCACAGTATGCCAGGCCCTTCCTCTCATAATGGCGATGTCCAAGAAAAGGCTTCTCACACTTGGCACAAACAAAATGCTGGAAAAAAATTTGATAAAGTCACTTATTTTTTTTGGTACTGGGGATCGAACTCAGGACCTTGCACTTGCAAGGCAGGTGGCGGCACCACTGAGCTAAATCCCTGGCCCAATAAAGTCACTTATTAAGTGCCATATTTTATCCATCTACTAAAGTAGCCCCCAAGTTGCTCTCTCTTCAGAGAGACACATGCTGAGTCTTTGCTAGGTTGTGTCAGGGTGTGGCCCTGTTTTTGGTACCGGGAATCCAACTCAGGTCCTTGTGCTTTTGAGGCAGGCGCTGGAACCACTGAACTAAATCCCCGGCCCACTATTCTACATTTTTAACACATACAATGTCAGCCACCTCTCAAATGCCTACATCTGCCCTTAAGAATTGCTGAGTTGCTGGCCACCCTGCGCCCATCGGGACTCACCTCCACATGCCACTGCTTGCCCATAGCGTTCACCACACGCCCCTCAATAGGCCGCCGGCAGGCCCCACATATGGGCACTCCCATCTTGTCATGGCATGGTAGGCAGTAGAGCTCCCCCTTCAGCTCCCTGGCATCAGCGGTCAGCTCCTTCCTGTGCAGAAGAAGGAGGCAACTGAGCAACCCTGCCAAGAGGAGTGGCGGCCCACAAGCTTGCAGGTCTGGAAAAGGTCACTATAACGAGGTGTGACTTCCTCCACCTGCTCTAGAAGTGACCAGAATAACAAAGGTACAGGCCTGAGGGGATCTCCAGCCTCTCATGATGAAGGCAAAGCACAAGAGGCCAGGCACATGCGCCACACCAGCCACAGCCAACATTGTCACTCAACTCATTACAACACATCCTGGCCCATGGCCACCCTCAGAAGTCACAGTGCCAAGGACGGCCTTAGTGTTGTCCTTCCAACCCTGAGGATCTTGGAGACTAGTTTGCTAACAATCACTGAAACCATCACAAGCTGTTATGGGACTCGCTTATTATAAACTTAGGTTAACAGAAAAAAACAAACAAACAAAAAAACAATGAAATGCCCAGAATCCTGTCCCCAGATGCTTAAGTTATCTGTTATTTTGTGCCAGCAAACATTTAGCCAGTGATAGCCCCAATCAGCCAGATGGACTTGTTTGGATTTCACTTGGTTTAAATAATTTTCTAGACTTACTCAAAACAAAAAAAGATAACAAAACCCCCATAAAACTCATATAGACTCACAAAGGCCTAACAATTCCTATAGACTTTGTTTTTGTACCAGGGATCAAACTTGGATCCTTGCACTCATAGAATTTTTGAAGACCCAAAAATTAACAATGTAATCAAGTGAAAGTAAATGAATGTGATTTACCATATTTTAAGATAACACCCTAATTATCACAACTGTAAAAGTTGTATCTGTAAATAAGGCTTTTGGGGGATCCTATGTTGGAAAAACAGTGATAAAAAATAGTTTTAGGGATAACTGGAGCTATTTCAATATGCACTTCATATATGACGTAAAATTATTAATATTCTTAGGCCTGAGAAAAGTATTGTTCTGTGGGAAAACGACTTCATTCTCAAGAGATGCACACAGTCACAATGTCTACAACTTGTTTTTAAACTGTCCTGTGGAAAATGATGTTAACATTATTACACATACTGAGCATGTGTGTGCACATGTGTCTGTGCACGTACACTCTCAGGGCCAGGGGAGGAAGTGCACAGCACTGAACATAGGCACCCTAAGGTGCTGGGTGGCTGGCCACACTCCCGACCTTCCTTGGTCTATGATTTTCCACCCTGAATGCTTCAGAGAATTTGTTCTTCTGGAGTAACAGAAGCCCTGTATCCATTCAGGGATAGAATGGATGTGGTACCCGCAGTTGGCACAATTGAAGTGGTCCGGATGATAGGGGTCATTCTTGAAGACCAGGGGTTGTTCATCGATGATGGCATGGCACTTCTGGCAGATGTACTTCCCCAGACCTCGGGCTTTCTCTCGATTATGACAGGGGCGACACAAGTGTCTAAGCAGGGCAAAATGGAAATTCAGTCTTAAGTTCTTTCTAATCATTAAAAAGAATCATGCTTCTCATATCTCTAAGAATAACTTAAAGAAACTATGTCTTAAAAAAAAAATTTCACCTATGCTTAACAGTGATTCAAGCTACAGACTGATGTTCAACACAATCCCTTTATGCCCAGAACCCCCAGGGGTTGCACAGAGCCAGAGACGCTACCCAGGGTACTGAGTTCTGTCCCCCAACAGGGAAAATGCCTTGTAACAGCCACCTCAGCGACCCACATCCCCAAGGGAAGGCACACCCCAAACTCCCACCTGCCAGCATTCTTAACAAAGCCGATGTCCGCTAGCACCTCCTGGCAGAGATCACAGCAGAAGCACTCGGGATGCCAGCTGTTGTTCATGGCTTTGATGACACGGCCAATGATGAATTCACCTGCAGGAAAGAAACAAAGCAGGTCCATACTGGCACCTTCCATGCTAAAGCAAACATGGAAAAAAGGGAGGAAAAGTGTTCACACCTTTTCCCACAAAGGAGAACTTCTAAATGGTATCTCCTAGAGTAAGTAACACACAGGAAAAATGGCCTTTACTTTATAGGAATCCTTGGGTTTGGTCCTGGAACCATATTTTTGGGCTGTTTTTATCACATGTTTGATTCTGGCTTTTGTTTTAATGTCCTGGGCTCTCTTGTTATCTTTTGTATATTTTTGGGCATTTCTGACATAGACAACTGAAATTCACAGCATATTTTCTTTTTTTCATTATCTTCTTTTCTTTGGTTTTATTAGTTTTGGTGCTGGGGATTGAACTCAAAACCTGGCTAAGCACATGCATTACCCATTGCATTAACTGATGTCCCTACTGGATCATTTCTTGTAATTTCTACTTAATCTCCTCCTTCACTAAACCATTACCAAATTCTTCGTGTGTTCACCAATCCCTACCAACAGTCTGGCAGACTGTGGCCAACCAATGAGGTGATGCCTGTGGGCGACTGGAGCACTTCGTCCACACAGAGAGCCTCCCTGCAGGAGAATAATTCTGGCCACCTGCTCTGTTGTCTATAAGACCAATTCTCTCTACACTGGTATTGGATGGTAAAAATAGGGAAGGGAGCAGATAAAGTACCTCTCAAGGTATTTATATTATGAGCACCAAAACCCAGCTTCCCCATCGGCACTGTAATATTTTAAATAGCTTAGGCAACTGGAAACTTGCTTTTTTACATTTGACAGTAAAACTTACCACACTGGTGGCAACAAGGAGCAAAAAGCATCTGGAAGTCATGTTCACAATACTTCCTGCCTTCAAACTGAAAGAGAAGGGATGCAAATGTTTCATGGAGACATCTAGGAAAGTGGTTTGGAGGTAAGAGCTCTGCCCTAAAAATTTAGGACTTCAAGTAGGTAAAGTATAGGACCTTCTACACACTGTCCTTCTGGGGTAAGGGTGCTCTTAGCCAGGACACAGCACCTGAGTTTGGCCTCCTCAGACTGTGCTGCTTGCTTTTCTGCTCACATGTTACCTTTACAATCAGATGAAAACTGTGCACTCCTCTGCCCAGAAAATATGCACATGTGGACCAACAACAGCCTTCCCCTTTTTTTTTTTTTTTTTTAAATCCATGCAGACCTTTTCACTGTATACATATTTACAAAGGGAGGCTGCGGCAGTATACAGGAGCCATAGTACTGACAGACAGATCACTCTTTCAGCATCACTACAACCCCACATGTTGAGGTCAGTAATCATGGACAAGGCACTTTTAATACTGTCTGGAAATACCCCAAACCCATTAAAACCATCAATAGTGGGTGTAGCTGGTAAGCACACATGCCTCAGCTGCTCAGGAAACCAAGGTGGGCGAGCTGGCTGAACCCATCCTGGGCAACGGAGGGTCCATTTCAAAACAAAACAATGAAATGAATAAGCACTCATTTTAGCAGCTGGAGAGTGTGTAGCCTTCATTTTCCTTCTTGAACTGTTTGTATTTCATTCACTCTAAATTCATTCTCATATATTTATTATATTATAACTGATTACCCTGACACACCCTGTAATTAAGATGTATATATAATGTGAAATTTTCATGTCCTGTGCTAAAAACAGGTTCCCAATAGGCGCAATAGGGTTCAACATTAATTTCAGTTTCAACATTAATTTCAGCCTTTTTTTTTTTTTTTTTTTTTGTACCAGAGATTGATCTTGGGACACTGCGCTTGCAAGGTAGGCAGCAGTGTCACTAAGCTAAATCCACTGCCCCTTTCAGCCTTCTATTTTATCTTGGTGGGGAGGGTGCTCCTCTTTTTAAAGATAGCTAACATTTGATATAATTAAGTCATGGGAATTTTATAGTAATGACTCCTCTTCATTCTTTGTGCTCCTCACAGGTTATATGCAGGTTGTTGTGTATTATTTGATCACTAAAATTTGTTTTAATGATGTGTTAGTTGTTGATTCAGTTTTTCCATTATAGCTGTAGATACAGCCTGCATTTTTGGTGAATATATCCACCACAACTCAACTGTTAAAGTCAGTTTTCACTGTCAAATCAGCTGAAGCAGATTTGATTTCTGCCAGAAAATTTTGCTTCACTTTTAAATACAAAAGAAGGAGCTCTAATATGCTGGATACAGTGATGCCTTGGTTCATGAACTTAATTCTTTCCATAATTCTGGATACACTGAACTGGATGAGAACTGAATCAAATTTTTCTTTTTAAGGTCACTAAACGTAACATTGAACCTAATCACTGAATTCAATTTGGTATGTACAAAAGTTGGATGTTTAGCGTTTACTGGTAATTGAATTCAGAAATCAAGAAAACTCAATTCCATTAATTTAGTTAGAAATGATCAAGTTTTACTGTGTTGAATGAGATGATGTATACTGACTGGTAAGAAAAAGATGTAGACAGGTTAAAACAAAACAAAGCTAGTTTAGCAGTTAATACACATATTGTATCTGTCAGTAGAAGGTAAAGAATGAATATAAACACTACATAAGATGACATCAAATTGAGATTCATTGTAATTTGAGTACATTTTTGAAGTATTGGGAATTGAATTGAGGATCTTGCACATATTAGGTAAGTACCTCATCACTGAATTACACGCCAGCCTCTGAGTAGAACTTTTAAGATCTGATATAAATGGTTGCTGAGCATGATGGTGCACACTTATATTGCTAACACTCAGGAGGCTGAGGCAGGAGAATTGCTGTGAGTTCAAGGCCAGCCTGGGCAACACAGAAAGACCCTGTCTCAGGGAAAAAAAAAGAGCCGAGGCAAGAGACAGAAACAAAAAGCATGACCAGTCTGCCTGTGGCTGCCCATGTGGCCTCAGGTGGCTGCTCCCCTCTTGTCCTATGCTGCTTTGCTCACAGGACTCTTCCTTAAAAAGGGTGAGTTTTTTTGAAATTAGGGGACAAGAAGAGCAAAACCCTTAATGGAACGATATTACGGCTATACCCCACAGTCCCCAAACTGACCACATCCCTGAATACAAAATGTCCAGCACAGTCCCCCAAAGCCAAGCACAGAGGATGCTCTCTGGGAGAATTACCCACGGAGCCCTGTGATAGGTGTCCCAGAGCAAGTCATCGCAACAGGAGTTTAGGCTCCTTTGGTTAATACAAATGTATCATCAGGCAAATAAAAAAGGATTCCAAAAACAGTCCCGTATGTCCCTTGAAGCCAGGAAACACAAGACTCCATGCCATAAATCCTGGCAGCCAGGCTGGAACTGGGCCCATACCTGAGGATCTTATTCCAACCCAAATGAAAACATGATTCCCACTGTTGGCCACAAGCTGCTCTGAGGTGGGGGGCATAGGAAGTGCCCACTGCCATGCCCACCTCTTTGGGTCCACAGGACAAGAAGCAAAATGCTGAGTGTACTCTGCTAATTATCCTGCCACCAAACCACTCACTAGAAATGGGCCTTTCCTGTTAGTCATCCTGGGATGGGAAAAGGCACACTGAGGAACCCAAACAAGGATGATCTGAGGCTGCAACAACAACCTGGTCCAAACACAACAGGCACAGTGCCCAAAGTTCCTGGTTCTAGGCTCAGACCATACAGACTGGACATTCTTCTGGATCACTCTGAACTGCTGGTTTCATTTCACCTTGGGGAAAAAAGATGGTTCTCCCTTTACAGGAGATAATTAAGAGGTCACAAAACCAGACTTACGAGCCATCACAGCTACATGGGCACCTTCAGAGGAAATGGCAGGTGGCCAGCTTCCTGATGCCACCACTGAGTGGTCATTTGACAGTTCATCCTTTCTGCACACTAGAGGATGAGTGGAGGCTGCAGCAGTGTACAGGAGCCACAGTACTGACAGACAGATTACTCTTTTAGCATCACTACAATCCCACATGCTGAGGTCAGTAATCATGGACAAGGCACCCATTTATAGTCTCTCTGTGACTGGCCTTGTCCAAAAACGCTAAGAACCTTGACATACTACTGAAATTGCTCTGATGTCTTTCAATTGTACAGGTGCATCTGGTGGTAGACATTATGACTCCTATCTTTGAAGTACTGTTCTCTGCAGTGACAGCAACCAAAGTGAGATTACTGAGTAGAACGGACTTAAGCAACATACTTTGGGGGTCACTGTTGCCTATCATGTCCATACAGGATTATCTAGTTGCAGAAAGACAAGCTCAAGGGTCCCACTGATCCTACATTATGTTTAGCTGTATAATTATTTCATTATATATTATAGTGTAATAATAGAAATAAAGTGACCAATAAATGCAAAAACCACTCTTTTCCCCCATCCATGTAAAAAAAAAATGTCTTTCATGGAAACTGGCCCTTGGCCAAAACAGTTAGTGGCTGCTGTGCTGGGGGCAGGTTACAAGTCTGCTGTCTAGAAAATAAATTAATCACAAACATTGTAGCTAAAATAGAAACCTTCATTTAGCCCCTGAGAATTTAAGCTGGGCAATACACAGGGCATCTTCTGGAATAATCCTGGGAGGTATTTATGGTCACAGCCCAGGGGAGGGAGGGTGGCAGGCGGACAGGGTGAATCAACGTCACCCTGCTTAGTGTGGTTGCTGCCCTTGAGACAGAAGCAGGTGTCAGCAGTGAAGTGTCCAACCCCAGCACCTGTACACACACAGGGGAGAGGCAGGAAGGAACAGCAGGCAGGGAGCCAAGGTAGGAGCTGGAAGAGTGCCTGCTGTTCCCAGGTTCAATCTCTGGGGCTCCCTGGGCTCAACTGATGGGGAAAACTTTTACAAATAGCAAAAACCTATAAAGTGTTACAGTGTAAAATGGCTTCTGCTGTCTCTAACAGCAGTTTGTTTTGCTCAGAATAGGCACCGAAGGCACTAATTGCGGAATGAGGCATTTGGTCTTACCCTGAGATAACAGGGCACATCAAGACGTTGAGCTCCAAAGAGACTGGAGCCACATGATTGTAAGTGTCTAGATGAAAGAACCCATTGCTAACATTTACCCCCCCAACCCTGAACACCCCCCTTCCTATGGACTAGAATAGATAACTAGGCGAATTTTAATGGTAAACTCCCCAACTGCAAAGAACTGCTACGTCTGGATTGAAAAGATTAACTATTCTGTGACCGTGATTTGAACTGTGAGAATGAAATGTAACCACCCAAATGAAGTCAAGGCTGTGAAACCCTATAAAAGGAGGAGTTGTAACCCAGTGGGTTGTCGATCCAGGCACGGCTTACGTGTGATCGACCCTTATTGATAAGTAAACTTGTTATTTTACTTCCATTCTGCTGCCTCTGTGTGTGTCACTTACTGATTCCTTCTGTAACACAATCACTATTACAATGATGCATCTTACCACTGAGAAGAACCCTGGTGGGCGGAGTGGGTTCCCATAGGGAACCCAGGCTGATGGAGTGGTAATCACTTTCAGTCACATACCTGTGTATCAAGGCTGTTCCAACCTCTGCCACAAGGAGTTACAGGGGAAAGGTCCAGGATGGGGGCCCAAGGAGAGAAGGTGAAAACCAGTGCTCCCCTGGAGCCCTGTGCAAACACTGTGAACATTAGCTGATTTTCCCATAGAAGCAGAGAAGAGAGTGAGGATGCATCAAGGGAACACTTTCCAGCTCTACCTCCCCAGGCTGTAGTGTGGTCCTTGCAGACATCTGCCTTGTATAATTGCACCTGAAAGTCAACTAGACCCACCGAAGTGGCTCCAAATTAACTGTGCAGATCTGTGACTGTGACCACCTCTCAGTCACAGAGAGCCCTGGGTCACAGTCTCCCCAGTGAGGGATGGCCGCGGTTACCATCTCCTTGATCTGTGTCTGCTGGACAGCTGGTGTGGACCCCTAGGATGTATAGCTCCCCTAATCACAGGAAATGCTATCCATTAGAGATCCTGAGTCACAGCAGTGTTACCTCTTTCCTTACCACCTATAGCTGGGCCTTGGTCCAACCTCCAGTATTAGGCCTGCAACCAGCAGTGATGCCCTGTCCCACGCTAGGGTCTCCTCCCTCCTCCACACAGGACAGCCCACTCCACAGCCTGGGCTGCACTGAAGCTTTGTCCCCAGTGTGGACTTGTAGGTGAGGTGGAAAGCTAAGGAAGAAGAGGCCTGCCTGTGGCCAGCTCACCTCATAGAAAAGCCCATCGGGGAAGGGCTGGAAGCACTGGGCACACACGAAGCAGGGCTCATGGTACAGCTCGCCGTTGCTGTTCACAATCTTCTCAGCAGGTGCGAAGCCCCCCCTGCAGCGCTCACAGGTAGCGCTGGCCAGGGCATTGGCCATGTTACTGCAACACAAAAGGACAGCAGGTCAGAGGCGGTCAGCCCAATCACACAAGGCCCCAAGGAGCATGTCTGTAGAGTTCCAAGCTCATATTTGATCTAGAAAGCCTGGAATCTCAAATTGTTCATCTCAGTACCCAGGCATCTTAGGTCCTGAAAGAGCCTTCTGTTTTGACTGCTCCTGTCTTTAACCTCTTTGGCATTCTTCTTGTTATATATTCTAGGAGAAACTTCTTACTACAGTAGGCACCAGGGACAGAGATGAAAGCAAAGCTGCTCTCAGCCCAGTGAAGTGGGATCTGTTTGCAGTCCCAGCCACTTATGAGGTTGAGGCAGGAGGAGTGCTTGGGACCAAGGAGTTCGAGGCCAGCCTGGTACAGAGCAAGACCCTGTTGACCAAAAGAAGAAAGAAAGGAGGAGGGAGGGAGGGAGGAAGGGAGAGAGGGGAAAGAGAGAGATAGAGATAGAGATAGAGATAGAGAGAGAGAGAGAGTAGAGAGAAATAGAGAGAGAGAGGGAGGGATGGAGGGAGGGAGAGGGGCAAGGAGGAGGAGGAAGAGAAGGAGGAGGAGGAGGAGGAGGAAGAGGAGGAGAATATATTTTTAAGGAACTCAGGTTTACAGCATAGCTGGTTAGATAGCTTAAAGTACCTGCAAGCCAACATTTCAAAGCCAATTTCTTTTACTTTTGAGAACAAAAACTAAACTTCATATCAAAAGAAGGCTGGGTACCAGCCTAAACACAGAGCATCCACATCCCATTGAGGGGTCTGCTGAAAGCAACTGCTCAACTCTAACACACGCCACAATGCCACAGTCATAATGACTGACTGGTGAGACACAATAAATATGAATATTATTACAATGTCTCTTAAAGTCAGGGGATTTCACATCTGAACCTCATTGTAGATGGTGAAACTGAAAGTGAGGTTCTCACCTAACATCACAGTAACTGAGTTCATGGGAGGGACGGGAGCAGAATACAGGTCCCCCAGGTATAAAAAGTGTCCATCACCATAGATGCTACCACTGATTCTCAGAACTGGGGAGGACACGGCAGAGACACAGCACACTTTATAGGTCTGGAGAGTAAAGTCAGGCAGGAAGTGACCACTGCCAAGCCCAGTGACAGTGGCAACTCCCTTATCAGCAATCCCACTGCACCTTAGGACACAGGAGGGGCTCAGCAAAGGACCTTGATCCCTGCAACCTCCATGGCCTGGAAGAAAAAGGGCAGCATGGCTGTAGGCAGACACAGGACTGGGTGAGGACAGTTCCCAAAAGCTCTGGAGATGGGGATGGTCTCTTGTGCTAAGCAGTCACTGACTATTCCGTCCTCTCTGAGCACAAGCTCCATCTGCGTCCCTAGTTCCCAGACAGAGCTGATCTCTTCCTGGATTCACCAGGGAATGTCCCTTCCAATGTTCTCCTGAGTCCTCACTACAATGCTCAAGGCAGATAAGTCAGTAAGCCTCCATTTAGATAGGGTAAGCAGCCTTGCCCTGCCAGATTTCACCTTTTGTTTTTTTCCGAGCAAGTGTACCTCTTCCTTTGAATGTTCAAAGAACAGCAACCTCACTCTGTAGCCTTGCTTTAGGGAACTCCATCTGGGCTGGGGATTTAACTCAGTGGCACCATGCCTGCCTCGCAAGCACAACGTTGTGAGTTTGATCCCCAGTACTGGGGAAAAAAGGAAAAAAGGAAAGAAAGAAAGAAAGAAAG